GTTTTTAGTCTTACAGACTATTTTACTAAATTGTCCTGTATTTGTCAATCTGTAAGTCTGCACTGCGCAAAATTCTTAATTATTCACCCAGGAGAACAGTTGACTAAAACTAACCAAAATATGCAGCAATGCTTCAGTAATCAATTCATTAAAAAGTTTAAAAATCAAGTTAACTTTTCTTTCCTTCATCACTAGATATACTTTCCATTCTCACTTAAAATATCCAAATACTTTTATATGATTAAAGTCTAAAGTTTGTTGTTACTGGCTTTTTGATTGTTTATTTTTATTTTGTTTAATGATGGCTGAACTTCAAACAAACATTCTTACAGGATAATTTACAAATGCTTTTAATTGCTTTTATTCTACTATTCCTAATTGCCATCCAAAAGATTGGTTAGAATTTGCATGATGTTTGGATGAGAAGGGGTATGATTTTCATTTAGGAATTATTTTAAAATGTGTGGTTCTTTTAAAAACAACTTTGACTAACTTGTATTAAATCTAGTGATGGAAAGAATCTCACTGGACTTGCATTACACTTTGATGTCTTGGCAACAAATCTATTTTCTGCCTTTAGTCAAAGCTGAACTTTTCTGAGCTTTTTTCCTTAGCATTTATGAAATTCAGACTCTTTTCCCTATGTTATTTCTATATTACATTCTAGTGTTAATCTACTATCATTTGGTTTGAATTTCTTGAAAAGTTTCCTCTTTCCTTTTGATTAAAACAAAAATGTGTATTTTTATACTGGGATGTTTTTGATTCTTGAAACTGAAAACCCATTTTTGAACTATGATATAAAATGACAAACTGTTGTATGTTGCAGTTTAAGATACGAAACATTTGTATTTTACCTGTAGGTTTTTTTTGTCACAAACTTCCAAATCTTATATGACATGTTCAATTGTTGACCGGTTTCGTTATTTAACCATACAGAGTCTGAGTTTGAGTGACACACCTATTTCATGTGTGGTCTACAAATGAAAAGGTGGGGAAGCAGGTGCCACCTTCCTGCAAAAATCGCAGACAATGCTCTGTCCAGAATTTTACAATTGCCATTTGTGTGGTTGAAGCTCTTAGAACTTAACGTCGTATATAGGAAATGTGTCCCTCCTCCCTTAGAACACTCTTCGAAATCCAGTTACCAAGAGTGGGGCAATATCTGGATGCTTTCCACGAGACCTCTTAGGACCTCAACCTAACTTGCGGAAAATTATTTGGGGCCCGTTCATTCAGCAGATAAATTTTTAAAAGAGAGAAAAGAAAGAAGATGAGATTATCCTTTTTCCTGACTTTCCAGTTTCTCAGTCTCTTCACTCTAATGTTCTTCCAACTCCTGCCTCTAGCTCAGAGAAAGCCTGGGTGGCAGCGGTGTGTACGCTCAGCAGAGAGCCAAGAGCGGGGGCAGGGAAGTCTCCCGAGGCACTGCTTACTAATGTAATTCCATAAATCAGCTAATGGGAGAGAAACCAGATCTGTGTGGTCTCTAATGCTGTCCCACAGAGATCAATCATGTCACCTGAACAATGTTCAGGGACTACGAGGCTGGGGTTACCCACGGGACAATTTTCTCCCTTGAGTCATATCAGGTTGGGAGATTTAAAAAAAGTTAGATCTTAGTATCAGAAATGTAACTGCTGTGAATATAAAAACTACAGGATTCCCTTTGTATGAGATTACCTTTGTGTGAGACAAAGGCCTGTCATATAATGTATTATCATACTATGTAATCACATTTCTTAAAATATATGGGAACTTAATATTGATCATTGAGGATACAAGTTTTTAAGATAAGTTTTGTTGCACAGGGGCATACAGAATTTGTAATGACTGCTTTGAATAACCAGTGATCATTTTTTTAGTAGAGTAATTGACTAAATGAATAGTCTTATATGCAACTATACAGTGCACAGTATCATAGGAAAACTAAGTTTGTTTTATGTGCATTGTTATCATATGGAATACTATAAAGGGGTGATTTTATTAATATATTTTGAAGGAATTAAGATGCTCTTAACATGAGGCTAAGCAGGAAAACGTGGAAATAAGTAAAGCAGTTTTAAAAGGAATGCCAGAGGGGAGGCTTTAAAAAATGTGGGCAAGAATCCCAACACATCTATGTGAATCTGTCTTAATTTCAGTTTCCTTACCCTGAGAATCTGATTACACCTCCAGTATTTGGCATGAGAATAAGTCAAAGGGAAAGAAGAGCACATGGGGCTTGAAGTGATAAATAAGAATAGTAGTGATGACTATGATCCAGATATTAATTGGTGTCCATAATTTAAAGTCAACAAATATTCGCTACTGAACTTACACCTGAAATCCACAGGTGATATCCATAATGAATCCCCAAATCACTATCCTTAGCCAGGGAGTCTACCTGACATCTAAAACATCTCCACAGATGATGATAAGTTACAGAAACCAAATTAGAGAGGGAAGCAGGTCAGCAGGGGTACTTTTCACCATCCCACAACCACTGCTCCAGCTTTGGTTCAGTCATGTAAACCCTGTCACTCTGACATGCATCCAGCTGGTTTCCTACAACGATAACTGTGTGGTTACACATGTGCTAAAGGCAATCATGCTGCCTTTGCCGCTTTAAAATGACCTAGTTAGAATGTTAGCCAATTAAAATTTTTAAAAAAAACAAAACTTTTTCTTTCTTTCTGCCAAATTGCATTCCATTAAGAATCTTAGCTTTGAACCAAGAACAATTCTCTGGTAGGAAGGGGTGTATAGCTAGGAGAACATCTTCAGAGAGCTCTACAAAGAGAGAAATGTGTTTCCCCTCCCATCCACACCCCAGTTTCTGAAGATCAACAGAATTTTAAAAGAGAAGAAAAAGTAATACTATGGAATTTTGTGATCAAAAAGCCTAAGAAACTTAAGGATCATGATAAGTTTGTGGGAAAACTATCAAAAGGAAGAAAAAAGGAAACTTATGAAATTTGTTTAGACTAATAAATCAGCATAGAAACTTGTGCAGAAAACCCCTTGGTACTCACATTAAACTCGTTCAGAGAGGTTACTTACTAAATAAATGAGAATTATTCAGTGGTCCTATCTACTACATACCCTAAATTGGGATGAAGGCAGTGCATGAGTCTAGCAAAAGTTGAAGGCCACTTAGCAACACCAAATCTATAATTCTAGATTTTATAATCCTAGATACTATAGTTTGAGAGAAAAAAAAAAAAAAGCTATGTAGTGCTATCAACTGGGCAATAACAGGAGGCTTTAGTATGAACTGAATTTTAACTGCCTATGGGCCTTAGAGACCTAGAGAAGTTATATTAATCCAGAGAAGATCATTCAAAGCTAAAAACTAATTTTTGCCACCTAAGAAAACACATGGACCTACGCCTTTATAATTGCTGTTATCTTTGCGTAAGCAGAGTTGCCAAAGGAAATGTAATAAACCACCCTGGAGTAAAGTCAAACTTTCAACAGAGATGGGTTCTTTTATAAAGAGGAATCAATGCAATATTTTGATGGAATTGATCATAATCAATAATGATATCAATATAAATTGATTTTGAGGGAATTCCAAAGTGCTATTTGCTTTGACTTATATTAATACAACTTAAAAAAAACAAACTGTATCTTACTTGTGTTCAAACATGCAAAGATCTTTAACTCTTTTCCCTTCTCCTTTTAAAGACCAGTCCTTCTTGGAGAAAACTCCTTTAAGCCACGTTCACAATTTTTTAAAAGAATGTGCAGATTTCCCTCTGATGATAACTTGTGAGAACCGCTCTCAGCCTACAATCCAGCCCATTGAATATTCCCTAATGCTACATCCACCACCTATATATGAACACTTAGCCATCTACTCTGTAAATTATATCAAGAGGCTAAATATGATTACCTGTTCATATTTCTTTACTAAATATACCACCAAACCCATTTACCTCTGATTTTCCATTTTTTCCCCTTTTGTTTTGATCAGGTCACCATATGAAATTTCCACCAAACACATCAATCTTTGTATTTAACATAATTAAAAGCCTAATTTAACAAGTAATTTAGTGATAATCTGTACGTTGTCTGTTTTAAGGGCATATAGGAAAAAGAAACTATTATTGACCAAATAGGGTGTCCAACAAAACAGTGCTTGGTGTATAGAACAATTTTGTGACTACAAAATGGTTAATCTGCTAAATGCAGAACCCCAAATTTATATTTTTTGTAACTGAGTTTTAGGAATCATTTGTTTCTAAGCTATGTAAGACAGTCTTAAATAAAATTACCATCACCTGCTACAAATTGTATCTATTCTAAGTCATCTCTCCTTAAAAACAGCAAATGGTGTTCAGCTTTCTATACTATATCCACTTTCCGGAAAAATACCAAGTATGCAGAAAATAAAATGAGGAAAACAAACATTTTGTCATGGTAAGGAGAAAAATTATCCTAGAAGAGGGTAGAAAATCCTCTTTTGAATTAATGTATTTCCGTTTCAATGATTACTCTGTGTGTGTGTGTGTGTGTGTGTGTGTGTGTGTGTGTGTGTGTTAATGGGAATGTAGGCTTGTGTGCCACAAACTGTGTCCTCACTTTTACAACTGGGCCACTAATAAGTCTCGCCCAATAAAAGTATATAGAATGTGATGTGTCCCACCCTTTGGGCAGAGATGCTTTTAAAAATAAGGGGGGAGGGGTCATTTTGAACCAACAAGGGAAATTTCTGACCATATTGAATGTGAAACTTCTGATTTTTCAAACCAATTACATTAGTTTTCCTCCCGGAGCTAAAAAGGAGGGGCGCCCTCCCCATATGGAGGGCGGTTCCAGGCGAAGTGCAGCTGGGGAGGGTGGCGGAGAGGCCATGACCTCCGCAAACCACCTACAACTGTATCTTACAACCTGAATGAAGCTTCAGGAAAGGGGTACTGCATCTTGAAGCCAGACACGAAGCCCTGAAGGGGAGAGGACAGGGGAGGGAGGAGGGAGGGGGGGAGACTGGGAAACAAGAAATCATCTCCTCTGACCTCTAGCGAAGTGCCAGGTTTTTTCTTTAGCTCTTCACATTTTCTAAATTTGCAGATCTGGTGTCCCGTTTTGCGGTTCCTGCAACTGCTGCAGACGCCACAGTTGATGAGCCTCTTGCAGGGCACGCAGACCCCACACCTTTTCCTCTTCTTCTTGGCCGGGTTGGCTCCGCCAGCTCCCCCCGAGGAGGACGAAGAGGAGGAGGAATGATTCTGCGGGCAGTCTGCCAGATTGGCAATTTGAAACGCACTGTCTGTGACGGCTGCTGAGGCTGCTGCGGGGGAGTGAAGGGCTGTCATGACGATGACCCCTGGAGGTAATGAGATGCCCCCTAAAGCCGGGATAGCGGAAAAAGTCCCCACGCGCTCGGGGAGATTCATTATCTCTGCTTCAGCAGCGCCGCATTTGAGCTTGTTCATGCATTCCCCCGCCAAAGGTCTGCAGTGTTCGGGGGATAAGGTGGAGAGGAAATTAGTATTTGCCATTTGCAACGACGGCTCTGGCGGGCAGCCAGCTTTCCCCAGCCTCTGGGAGTCGTTTCGGTGGTGCATGCTGGTCCTGCTGCCGCCGCCGCCGCCGCCGCCGCCGCCGCCGCCGCCGCCGCCGCCACCACCGCCGCCGCCGCCACCGCCGGCGGGGAGGATCGCCGAGGAGGCGGCGGAGGAGGAGGCGGCGGCGGAAGAGGATTTCCTGCTGCCCCCGCCGCCCCCGCCGCCGCCCCCGCCGCCGCCGCCTCCGCCTCCGCCGCCCCCGCCACTGCCCCAGAGCATGGCGGTGGCGGCGGCGGCGGTGGCCGCGTTGTCGCAGTTCCAGGGGGACATGCCGATGCGCGCGGCGGCCGCGGCGGCGGCGGCGCTGCTGGGGAAGATGGGGGTGGTGATGCGCGCGATCTTGGCTGCCTGCGGGAAGGCGCCCCCGTTGGTCTTGTAGAAGGAGGTGGCAAAGGAGCGGTAGCGCTCCATCTCCGAGTTGTAATCCACAAGGCTGTTCAGGGCCCCCTCGGGCAGGTGGCTTTCCTTGGGCAAGCCCGGGGCCTCCGGGCTCGGCCCGGGCTCCACGCAGACATTGGTGTTCATGGTACAGGGGGGGAAGAAGGGGTGCAGGGTGGAAGTGGGGACCGTCTGGTCCGACACCTGGGTGGGAAAGGGGGGAAGGTGGGGGGGAGGGAAGGGGGTGATGGTGGTGCCGGGGTGGGGGCCGAGGCGGGAGGGGAAAGTGGGTCCGGGTGGGGAGAGCAAGGTGAGGACTGCTTTATTCCTCTCTGGGGCGCATTTCCACAGACGGTGAATTCCCAGGCAGCGTCTTCCTTTGCATTATCCTCCAACTGTTACAACTAAAATAAAGAAAGTCATTCCAACAAGCAGCACGAGGAAAAAGATGGACAAATAAATAAACAGCCTCCCTCACCACCCCACCGCAGACGCTGAAAGCTCCCACATTCTTCGTCAGGTCGTTTGCATAACAATCATCAAGACGTGACCCCCCCCATTCCCATCCTTCCCCCACGCTCCCAGGCCCGCTCTCTCCCTCCCCACAGCACACCACGGCTCCTCCCCCCTATTCTTATAACCCTCCTGAGAAAATGTATTAATAGCCAGGATACCCAGGGAAAGAGAAAAGACAGGGGTGACAAATGCCGAGGGAAAAGGGCAATTGGAGTGCTTAAAGACATGCAAATCAGGGGTGGGAGGGCGATACTACCTATAAGCAGAGGGCATTTAAACATTTTGAAATGTATGAACAAGTGCTGCCTGGGCATGCAAATGCTCTAAAGTAGAAAACTGCTATGGCCCTATGAGGAAAATGAACAGGAAATTAGCAAATGAAGTACTGAGAAAGTCTGCAATACATCCGAGTATAAACTGTAAGCAAACACAATACAACTGAGAGCTAAGAGACTGCCCACATACAATCTGAACTAAAGAGGCAGGGAGAAAAGAACTACCAGCTGCCACAGTGTCCTTGTGTGTCTGCGGTCATTAGTTTGAATCCCAGCACAGCTGGCTCTGTTAGGGTCTTAATTCAATGGACCAAGGACGGGTCTCAATTGTACAAGCCATTTGGTGGTGGGGCTTGGAGGGGGTAAGAGGGTGGTGTTCTACTTGTTTAAAAGAAAGAAAAGAAAGATGGACTAGATTAAAAATTTTTTTTAATAATACAGAAAAATGTCAAAGGTTTTAAACCAAGTGCCTGCAGTCTCTGTAAGAATATTCCCAATAATTCCTAATGGAGACTCCAGTCTATTCCCAAGACAAGAAGAAAGCATGGACTTTTTGAGGATCTCTCACAGTCACTGATTTTTTTACATTGAGTAAAAGTAGGGGGGAATCATTTAAGGTGTTCCATGAAGAAATAATCATTAAAATGATTTTTTTTTCTTTTGCTCTGTTTTACAGGAAAGTTTAATGTTAACTGGGTATTTGCATTCATCTCTTTGCTTACAGGCCATTATTATGCTTAGGAAGAGGTATTTTAGTTGTTTATCACAGAGGGAGAGGTACATCACAGCCTTTTGAGAAGTAAAGCAAAAACATAAAGTGTATATTAACCTAAAAAACCAGTTTCTTTGTTTCCAGATTTTTTTGGGGGGGGCAGAATATCTTTTTGTGACATCTTCTGAAGCCCACATATTGGTCTAGAATGTGGAGTTCAGGGAATTTTAAATGGGGGCCCAGTAGTCTGTCTCAAATATTCAGTTCAAAATGGATATCAATTATAGCAATTATGCTTATAATTAGATTAATGAACCATTTATGCCCAAACTCCAAGTGCAAAAACTTCAAGACCTGATGATGAGGTGCCCTAAAAAGAGGGGTTTATGTAAACAAATCCCTATTAAGCAAAGTAAATCAAGATAAGGAACCTCACCCCCGGCTGGATTAGAAGCTAGCAGGCATCTTTCAATCACAGCAAGTCCCTAATCATTCAGGAACCACCTCTGTGGTTTCGCATTAGGGAAAACTGCTCCCTTCAGAGGTCTGAAGGCAATACAAAGGGTGCCCCCAAAATGCTCCTGGCTAAATATTCTTGATGCTGGGAAGGGGGTGGGGGAAGACACAGCAAGAATATGCATATAGCTTCAGTTTCTGCGAATCACATTGTAACTGCAAGACCATAATAACTACTACTCAGTAAAAACTAGTTATGCCAACCATGCATTAGATACCAGCACGCTGAGTGGAGGGAAAAATGTCAACATTTTAGTCTTTTGACCTTGTTCCAAATAAAGAAATAATTTAATGTCCCTTTCTCCAAGTATCAGAGTGGTGTCTCCAAAAAGAAGCTTTCCTTATTACCATCACCTCCCCCTTCCCTCCTCAAGGTCTAATGCCACCAGAAACTGTAGAAAATGATTGTGCCCAGTATCCAGGTCATTATTGTTTAATCAATGCATCTTGGAGCATGAAAAAGGTACCTAAACCACAGCTATTGTTTGGATTTTCTTTAAAAAACGAAATAAAACACACACAAATAACTATAGTCCTATTCCAAAGCTAAATTAGACATCCATACTTCATGATCCTGTTTTGCCTTTAAACAATGTGACTGTACATGCCTAATATTGTATGTCTGGTCTACCAGAGACATAGAGATCAAAGGTCATATTTAACATTCAGGAGGAGGGGCGGGTGCAGATTAATTAATAAATTAATACAGCGACGCCTTTTATCGCTGGAGTCCAGCATTAATAATCTACTTTTACAATCCCAACGGACAGCAAACATTTAAGAGCAAAAAGCCAGAGAAAGAGAAAGAACAATCACTTACCAGTCTCTTTTTATTTGGGGAGCCTTAGAATTTGCAGACGCTGCCAGTCTGCCTTTAATTAGTTGCACATCACCCCCTAACACAAAGAAACACAAATCCAGATGTGTCTTGGCAGCTCCCAATTACAACTTTAATACTTGTAAACAAACTGTTGGGGACGGGGGAATAAATAAATATGCGGATCAAAAAAAAATACCTGTAAATGGCTTTTTTTTTTCTTGTTGCAGAGAGAAGGAGGAGGAGATGGTGTTAGTGGTGGGGGTGGAAGGAGGAGGAGGTGGGGGGAGAGGAAAGAGCCGAGTGTGAGTGTATGTGTGAGAGCGCGGGGCTGTTCTCGGTGGTCTCTCCTCTCCCAGCGCGTTGCTCTCCGTCCGTCTCCAGTCGCTGTGTGCGAGGGTGGGAGGGAGTCGGGGAGTCTCTCCTCTCTCTCTCTCTCTCCCCCTCTCCTCTCCTCTCTCTCTCTCGGTCTCTTCTCTCTCCCTCTGCCCCCCTTCTCTCTCTCTCTCTCTCTCTCTGTTTGTGTGTGTGCGTGTGTGCGGCTGCGGGGGGAGGGGAGGGAGAGACAGAAAGGCGAGGGAGGAGGTGGGAGGCTGGGGGCGGGGGCGGGGGCGGGGGGGTGATCGGCGCCGAGGTGAGGAGGACGCAGCGACGCGGACACCTACTGATGATTGGCTGCAAATTACACGGGGAACAAGAGGCGCACGCGGGCCGGCGCTCCCCTTCACAAATCCTCTCCTCGCCGGAGGAGCCACGTTTCCCGGCTCGCCTGCCGATCGCCCTCCCTTCTGGCGCCCCGCTCTCCGGCTCAGCCGCCCAGCCCAGCACAGAGGGCTGTTGATTATTTTCTTTTTCTCTCGGAGATAATTGTTTGGAAGGGATGGAAAGAGGGCGTTTCCGCCTCTCTCTCCCTCTCTCTCTCTCTCTCTCTGCTCTCTCTACGTGTGGGGTGTGTGTGTGTGTGTGTGTGCGTGTGCGGGTGTGTGTGTAAATAAACTTGTCTGGGTTTTTTGGCTGGGTTGAGAAGAGCAGTACAAGAAACAGAAAAGGTCGTGTTTGTTTGAAGAATACTCTTATTTGACACCGTACCGCATGGCTTTTAAATAATACTCCTGATGTACCCAGGAAGACTTTTAAACATTATGATCATTTAGATCTTTAAAGTAAGGGAAAACGTATTGGTGTTCTGCTTCTCCGGATCTTTTAAATATTATTATGCCAGAATGCAAAAAAAAAATTGGTGATGTGTGTAGTCTGACCGATCTCAAAATCAATCTCAATCTCTCTCCTCTCTCTCCTCCACCCGCTTCCCCAACCCCATTCTTTTACTATTCCATCTGGTAGTTCCAGTGATTAAATATAATTTTTAACTTACTACTCTATTTTTAATTACAAACTTACTTAAACAAAAACTACTTTTATAGCTACATTAATCTATTTTATACTAGTATGACTTCTTGACACTTGGGAAAAATAGTTTCATAATTGAAAGATAAATCTTTTTACCACAGGTCAAAAATAAATAAAACTCACTCATAAATGCAGCTATGAATTAACTTCTTCACTGCTGCCTTAAAGAAAATGAGATATTCCTGGCTACATGCTATCCTACTATTGAAATGAAGTGTGCTCATAGTTATCTGAAATATTTAAAAATATGAATCTTTTGGATAATTTTAAAGAAAAAAACAGTGATTCATAATAAGCTACAGAAGTAGGAAGGAAAAAAATTCAGATTGTTTAAATTGGTCTTATAAAGCAAAGTAAAAGTTCTGTATTAAAATTAAAACTGTACTCTAGAATAATACAATAATATAGTTTCAGAGAGGGAAGAAAAGTATAATAATGAGTTGTTTCTTTTATAATAACAACATGCTGAAAAGACATTTTGAATCATTTTGTTTTTGAATCTCAAAAGACCGACCTTGACCATATCAAGATTCTGCCAACTCTGGAGGACTGATTATTGATAAGATGTTAGGAACCGTGGTGTGCATAAATGCAGGTGCTGTACCAAGAGTGGGCAACTATTGAAATAGGGGGCAAATTGTTTTGTGACTCATTGATTAAGATGCATGTTTTGTAATTAAAAAAAATAGAATAAGTTGGTTATAAAATCAATCAAATCAGTTATTTGGCATTTATAGCCAAAAAACTGGGTGGTTAATAATTACTTAAGTTCATTGGTAAGATATGTTTATACTTTTGTCAATGCTTTGTGAAAGCAAAGAAAGGAATTTTCTATTGGATTTTTTTTTTTTTGAGCTGAACGTCATAAGAAATTTATCAGCAAAATGTAGACACCTTTTAA